ACAGCAGATGTCTGCTACGGATAGTGACCAAAACTCACGAAAGAGTATGTTTCCAATAAAGCCCGTCGACTTAGGCCCTTCCTCTTGAGAATTTGCCTCAACTCTTGAATTACCTGATTGTAGTGTTTGCTGTTTCGTCATCGAATAGTTTTAGTGCTCTGCTGACAGGCATTATGCTGATGTTTCATATTTTTATGACATCTTAGACCTTAGCTATCGCTTGAACATTTAGATGCGGAAGCAAAATATGCCAGCAAATGTTTTGCTTCCTCGGGGTTGGTGATTTGATTATGAAAATGTAGCATCCTTTATATGCCAAATAGTCTGATGATGGCGTCGTTAGAAAATCTGGCTTACATGAAACAAGAACAAACGGTAAGATGTAGAATGCCGCATATCAAATCGAAGTTGAGCAGTACTCCGTCTGAATTCCGACACTTTCCACACAATTAAAAACTTATCATAAGCAGTGGAATTAATTTAAATAAATAAAATCATTAGGATAAAGAATCTTGATTTAAATTATTTTAGCCAAATTAATTTTCATGATTCAATTCGTTCAAACGCTGTAAGTTCGACAGTAACACGAGGCAACTCTTTCGATGAGGTTTGACGTAATATTTGGACTGAGTGTGCGTTCCACTTTGCCTGCAAATTTTCATTTGGAATTTTTTCAGATCAGACTGAGTTTATTTGAACAAAAAATGTACTTGCTGTCAGCAGAAAGTGACATTTTCATGTTAATGGGTTAAACGGTACCATTAAACAAATCACATGATAAAGAAAATTTCTTTGTGGCTATGAACGTTGTGACGCAAAGCGTGGTATACTTGGTATCATTTGTTCTTGCTTTCTTTACGGTCTAGATGTCCTCTAGGACTGATCTTCAGAAGTTCTGTACGTGCATGTAACTGACTGACATGGCTTCTGTTTCGACGGTGTACCGAAACCATTTTCTGCAACTACTTCTGCAAGCGACAGATGACGTATCTGAACAACGTTCTCGCTGACCACGTGATTG